GAAAGAAGAGAGAGAGGGGGGGGAAGAGAGAACCTGAAGGAGGACGGGATGCTCCATAAAAATTCTGCCATGCAAATTGGCACTGCAGCCACTGCTAGTTTACGGAGCACTAGCGCAGCAAGCCAGCAGCCCATGTGATAGAAACCCACTAGACTCGACCGACATCATCTGCTGGTGACTAAAAATACTGTCATTGCATTCTTTTGAGGCTTGGAGGGTGTGGAAGCTATGGTTTCAAAGTTCTGTTCTTTTTTTCTCTCTTGCCGGTAGTAACTTATGCCGTCACATTGACTGGTCTTTTCTGGGCATTGAGCTGGGCAGAGGACGGTTCACCCTCTCCCTCTCCTTCCAGCCGATTCCGACCTCTTGGAGATGACTTCGATTCAGGGCTGGTTTGTCTCTACCAGTCACATCTGCCATCAAACACGGCTGAGCCTGGAAATCCTTCCGCTCCTTTCCCGTCCCCTTCGTTTGTCCCGCATCATGCTACCATGCTACCAAAGTCCCCGTAACCTCGTATCATTCTTAAAGTTCTCAATTATCAGCATACTCCACTTTTAGGTGGCGTAGGGGACGGAGAGGGAGGGGATGCGGAAGGCAGACAGATACCTTATCCTGCGCTTGGATCTTTTGTGGAATGTCAGAAAAAGACCCCCCCAGTACCCAATGTCCAGTCCTGCTACTACAACTAAGTCTTTTGGTTAATTGACCGTCGGGGTTGAGTGCCTGGGGGTCAGTCAGCATGGAAGTCGAATGAATCTGGGCAATTGTCAATCGGATCGTCTTGCGACCGATTGGTCGGATTGAAGCGGATTGAGCTGCAATATATTGTTTCTATGCAGGGGTGTGAGTAAGCCATTTTGACCGTGTACTCCGTAGAGCATACCACAGTACTAGCATCATTAGAATTTCACATTGAACATTTGAACATATTAGGCGATCCATGAGGCTGGAATAAAGGACCTCCTGCCAGATGTGGCCTGACACCGGCCCTCGGTATACATGTCTTGCCCGTCCTTCGTCGACGGTACCTCGAAGAGGTCAATCGTCCGGAGTGCTCCCATACTTCTAACTAGATCAGCATCATCAACTCCCCTATTACCTCCATGAAAACAAAGACATGATACTTGTCAAGAATCGAACAGATGACAGACTGCCACTCGGAGCGTCCGTCCACCCTAATCAGCTTACTGCCGTAAAGGCCTACCGTACTAAGGCGCCACAATGCCAGCAATAACCTTAAGAAGCATGTCGGAGAATTCATCACCATGCCCACTCCCCCTCCCCCCATATCCATTGGCACTTTGACACGCTATTGCCATGTGAATATCAAATCATGCGCAGTAGATTGATTAATCGACTAGTTGAGGTACGGTACGACCCGACAGCCTCCTTTGCTAGCAGCCTAACAATCAGTTAACTACGGAGGGGTTCGAGCTGCTAATCCAGATACTGATAGACTAGCTTTGCCTGGAAGAAGCAGCAAATCCAGCACTCAGCTAGCGTAAATCGCCAGTGGCCCAGTGGGACCTGCACTCACTCTCCACCACAGCCATGAAACGACGAAGCGTACCTATGCGAATTGCCTGAAGTGGATAAAGCTCAGCCGATCAAATAGATTGCACCCCCCAGAAAATAAACCCCGTGCGCAAGCGAACCCCTGGACCGACCTGACTTATGTGGAAGAGCAATGCATCATTGACGACGTTTCAAAACTCGAAAGCACCTCGACATCCGCCATTAGATATTATTGTTAAGGTCAGCCAAACAAAAACACTTATCCGCTAGTGCACAAACGCACATACACATACACATACCCACCACATGGTTTTGAGAAAAATTGCCACCCCATTCAGTTGTGATGGTTATACTACATTATTCTCTGTTTCCAGGCATACGCTAACAACAATATTATCCAACTACGGTACAAGAGCAGGAGCCCCCTTTGGCACTCTTCTCACTCTCCGCCTCCCCACGGAGCTCCGTACTTCTCTTATGGTGTTGGGTCCTCTCCGAGCCCCCCCCCCGCGGCGCGCGGATGTTTTCAAACGCGCTACCCGACGTCCCGCCAAGTTCCTGTGGCTTGCCCTTTCCTTTAGTGGGCTGATTTTTGACTTATGATTTCGTGGTTTTGGGAAAAGCTGTCATGGTTTCTCATTTTGGTACAGTTTTCCCGGGGGTAAACCGGGTTACTAATTTTAGGAATTTCCGGGGGTAGTCTTTTCCAGGATGGTCTTCATCATTTCGTTGCCCAGCTTGACGGCTTCGGGAAATCGTGGGGCGAAGTACTGCTGGATACGTTCGAAGCGATCGCGGTAGGACTGGAAATCACCGAAAGAGACACAGTCGGACCACGCCTGTCAGAAATGGTCACATGATGTCAGTGGGATATTCTGGAACGAACGCTCGACAGGGAGGCTCGACAAACGGCGCATATACGGCCAAGGGGAGAGAACGAAAGGAGAGACAGGGATTGGCAGATGCAAAACTTGCATAAGTCCCCCGGACAGATGCTGGCCCCGCAGAGATCCGGGTCGGTCGAGAGGGAGGGGGGAAGGGGGGAAGTGGAACAGGTCCAAAAGTCCAAGTACTTACCCGCGCTGCGAAAGTGAATTCCAAGTCGTCGGACCGGAACGTCTTGTCATCGATGGCGGTGTCGAGAGCCTCCTCGAGAAGCTCGGGGCTGCGAAACAGGTACTCTGTGACACCTAGCCAGAGACGGAAGAGCTATTTGGATTTTGAAGACACGAAAGTGTGAGTGAGACTGAAGGAGGGGAGGATGGCAATATACTAGACCGCCGCGTGCGCACGCGGGGAAGATACCCGGGGAGGATGGGGGTTCTTACGGGTGTTGAGCAGATCATATGGTCATAAGGCACGATTCCGAGTTTGGACCAGCAGTCGACGATGGCAAGCAAACTGAGGTGATTGTTGGGCGGCGTCTTCTCGCGCGGACCATTCGACAAGGAGAAGCGATCGAGCACCTCGTCCTTCAGCAGCAGCTCTTGACTCTCGGTTCCCGCTTTGAAAACGGCCTCGCCTGCTGCCTTGACGCGCTGTTTGAGCTCTTCGCGACGGCCCTCGATCATGAGCTTGTAGAGTTCGGTCACCGATTCGGCATACTGGCGGATCTGCTTCTTCGCCGCCGGGTTGAGAATGGCCAGGCCCGCGTACACGTGCCATTTGTTAGAGTAGATGCGCAGGGTGATGTTGATCTTGACGTTCTCGATGCCTCCAACCCAGCGGGAGAATTCCCAGGGGAACTGATTGTTTGCTTGCCAAGCCGTACCCATGCTCAAAAAGGCGGCGTGTGTAACCGCCTGCGTGTCGGCGGTGATCCGGTCATGCATCTCTCCCGTTAGATAGACGTATTCGGAGCCGAAGCATGATAGGACTTCTTCGACGAATCTGAGGCTCTCATCGGACGCACGGTGTTGAATCAGGACCTATAGGAAGCAAGGTATGTTACCAGGGGTTGTGCCAGCCACATTGCGATGATCCTTGTCACCATCTTTGAAAGGTATCAATCAATCGATCAAGCATACCAGTGGTTGGCCCTTGGGGTTGACCTTGGGCCCATGGAGCGAATGGCAGGATACAATTTCTACATCCGTGGGAAGATGCTTATCGAATGCAGCAAGCTCCGGGGCCTTGCAGGACGTTTGACCTCCAACAATTGCGCCGACCTTGGTGGCTTTCCAGGCGTCAGACAACGTTTGCCAGTAACAGTAGAAAAGGGAGCAATGCTGGGGCGCGGCGGTTTGGCTTCAAAGACATACATGGGCCATACTCAGCGACTACCTTGTCAATGACACCAGCCTCTACACTGTAAATGATGTAATCGCTAATCCTAGAAACCAGGTGTCCATTCGGGTATACGGTAACACCTTGCTTTCTCAAGATGAGTTTATGGACAGCGCTGGCTGCGAGTAATCAAAGACGTACTTGAGATTCAAATTCATTTTTCAAGTCCTCATACAAATCGAGTTTGTCACATGCATTAATCCTTTATTGGGAGAGATATCTAGTTAGTACAACTGAGGTTGTTTGCTATCGAATGATCAAAAAGTATACAAAATATTAATAACCTGGAAGCAAGGACAGTCAGCACGAGATCCAACAGCGAATGGCTATGGAAAGAAGCATGATTGTGTTGCGAATTTCAGACAAAGAAATAAAGGTAGCTGAGATGTTACATCATTGACGACCCAGTGCGTAGCAGATATATCAGAATGATATAAACGCCGGGCACCAAGCCATACTCGAGCCAAATGCACTCAAGTCATCATTCAAAGTGGGAGTGGGTTGAAAGGTATCTGAGAGATAAATGGAAGAGAGTGGCTCACCTAGTAAGAGAAAACGCTGAGGGTATCTTGTCGAGACGGCAACGGAAAGAAAAGAATCTTCGCGTAAATTACCTCCATCCTGCGGCACTGAGGCGCTGGGCATACATTTTGCCCATATCACCCATTCCGATAATGCCAATACTGGCAGTTTCCTTGGTGAAGCCCATGGTGGGCGGTGCCTGGAGCGAAGATGAGAGACGTCGAATAAGTGACAATCAGCTCAAGAGACTCCCAGCGCGAATGGCCACGGAGTCGCACCAGTTGCTTCGGCTTCAATGTTCACAAGAAAGGAGAAAGAGTAAGCCCGGTGAAACTCACAGGGAGAATTTTAAATAGTGCCGGCATCTTCAACTTTCGGGCCGACTACCACCCCGAGGCCCCGCCAATCAACGGCTGTCAAAAACGCCTAAATTGCTCGAGGCCTTAGGCAGACGCTCGCTTGGGCACTGCTTAGGATTGATCTGCAGCCAATCAGAGCCGGGGTGTGGATAGGGCACACACCGGCCGGGTTTTTTTCCTCTATCCCAACCTCACTTCGAGCGGGCGCGTTCGACTTCGACTTCCTTTTTTTCTTTCTTCTGTCCCATATTCCATCCCACAACCGACAAAAATGGCTCCCAAGAAGACCACCCCTGCCGCCAAGGAGAACGTCACTCTCGGCCCTCTGGCCGGTGATGGTACGAATCGATTCCCAGCAGTCAAGAAATTCATTTCGCGCAAAGTCAGATGCTAATGTGACTATTTGGGGGTCTTTAGGCAAGCTCGTCTTCGGCGTTGCCCGCATCTTCGCCTCTTTCAACGATACCTTCGTTCACGTCACCGATCTTTCGTGAGTCTCTCCGCCTTCGGCTCGCAAATCTCTGGAAATCATCTTTCGAACTCGGTGCGCTTGTGATTAGGCTGGCTACGAAGAGTCGGGGCAAGGCATACCGTGGCAGATTGATGGGGAACCAAAATTGAAGAACATCTACGGGAATAGCGCAAAACAAATGCTAACAACACATTCTACTACAGCGGCCGTGAAACCATCTGCCGTGTTACCGGTGGTATGAAGGTCAAGGCCGACCGTGACGAGTCCTCCCCCTACGCCGCCATGTTGGCCGCCCAGGACGTCGCCGCCCGCTGCAAGGAGCTCGGCATCAACGCCCTCCACATCAAGATCCGCGCCACCGGTGGTAACGGTACCAAGACCCCCGGTCCCGGTGCTCAGTCCGCCCTCCGCGCCCTTGCCCGTTCCGGTATGCGCATCGGCCGCATCGAGGACGTCACCCCCACCCCCTCCGACTCTACTCGTCGCAAGGGTGGTCGCCGTGGTCGTCGTCTGTAAGCATGTGCGAGTCTCGGTCTTCTCCAAACTGGTGCAGAGGTTTCTTTCGCACGCGTCTGGGGGACTTGTTGCTCGGTGCTGCTTGCCGGCTGTGGATGGAATAAACGCGAAGAACGGCTTTTTGCGCCTGGTCTTCAATTTATTACATACCCAAAAGTGTGTTTAGCGGTTCTGGAATTTCGCATTTTAGCTAGTCTGGTGTCATCTCGACGGCTGCTCTGGTCAATATAAGTGGAACCTTGGACTGCACACTTTCATCTCTTCGTCCCCGTAAGAATTAATGTAATCATGATTTTGGGCTGCAAAGAAGCCAGATACTTGCCATCTGCTTTCGATCCAATGATCTCAGGAAGTAGGTATTCTAGCAAAATACTTAAGGCTGGTCGGCCCACCCAGCCGCTAAGATAAGCCCAAACTTATCAATCAGTTAGCGTATCGCGAACCTTCCAACTTTGATCGGCGCATATTCCAACTTAAGTCTTGCCCTTCTCGAAATACAACTAACGGTCACACGCCAAATTCTATCTAAACAGACTTCAAGAACAGGAATTAGCAGAAAGCAACATACTGATTCAGCCTGCTAGTTTTTGCGCTAGCTCAAACTTGACGTCAATCCGCGGGGGCGCGACGACCCCTCCCCAAAACTTCACTTCTCTACAGCCTACGAGCTTTCACCCATTTCACCCCTCCCACTTAACACAACCAATAAAACCTCCTACAATCCTTTCCAACATTCTTGATGATCTCACTCGACTGAGCCGCTTATCAAAACCTCTGACCGCCAGAAAAAAGAAACCACTACCCAGAGCCAGAAAAAATGACCACCGCATCCCCCACCATCCTCCTCCCCCACCTCCCCCCCAAGACCCTCGTCGGCATCGACCTGATCACCTTCACCTCGACCGCCAACTTCCACGGTATCCGCGATTTACCTGCGGGGTGGCACTTCCTCTACACCGGCACGACCGAAAGTCTCTCCCTGCGGAGCGGAAGCTGGTTCTACGTTGGGGATTTGGGTAGCGCTGCCGCCGCTGCTACGAATCCCGGCGCACTCGTCTCCCTCCACCAACAGACTCAACGGCAGCAGCAAGAATATGGCCAAGACATCATAGTTTGGAAATGGGACACGGAGAGTGAAACGCTCGCGCCGTTGAGCGCCGCTAGCGATGCGGATCGGCAGGAGGCGATGCGGCAGAAGGCGAATCTGGGGGCGGTTTATCGGCGGGGCGGGTTGTTTCGGTATCGGAGTCGGGTGACGGAGGCGATGTTGGCGATGCAGTCACAAAAGCAGCAGCAGCAGCAGCGGGGAGTGCGGTTTGAAGATGAAGAGGTAGAAGGGGAGGAGGATGAGGAGGAGCAGGATGGGAGGAGGGATTGGCGAGGTTTGACGGATAGGATTACGGAGGGGTTGCTGGATCGGATTGTTGGGGTTCCTGTTGTGGATGTGGATGGGAGGGCTCGGTGGATGGTTACCTCGGCGAGTACCGCGCTGAGGGATAGTGATGCTATTCCTGGGTTGACCGTGGAGGAAGAGGAAGGGGGGGAGCAGAGGTTAGATGAGGGGGCGATTGAGAGGGTGACCGGGGAGAAGGAACGGGAGTTCTCGTTTGCCCCGGTGGATCTGAAGCGGACGTGGAGGGAGGGTGCGATTGGGAGGGAGAGGACCGAGGCCGCCCAGGATCGTTCGTGGGCTTTGGGAGACTTGATTGATAGGGTTTCATCGGGTTCAGGGGCCAAGGATGCTGAGAGGGAGAGGGTTGGGGAAGGCCAGTTGCTGGGCGAGCTGCAATTCTCTTTCTTGATGATCCTGACTTTGATGAATTATTCGTGTCTGCAGCAGTGGAAGCGTTTGCTGGAGCTGATTCTCACTTGTCGGAGTGCGATCCGTGAGCGGGGGGCGTTCATGAGTGATCTGCTGCGCTTGCTCTTGCTGCAGCTGCGCCGTTGTGACGATGTAGAGGGGGGTTTGTTTGACCTTGATGGAGAAGAAGGCGGTGCGTTCTTGCGGAAGCTACTGATGAAGTTCCGGAAGTCGCTATATGAGGTTCTCGAAGAGACAGACTCCCAGGTGAAGACGGAGTTCGAGAAGCTTGAGGCTTTCGTCAAAGAGGAATACGACTGGGAGCTCAATCGCGACGTGATCCTTCGACGAGGTATGGTTCAGCTGGAGGATGGTGAGCAGGTCGAGCTGGAGGTGGCGGGTGACAATGAAGAAGAGGAGCTTGGAGAATATGCGCCTATGGTTGTGGACCTTGGAGAGGGCACTGGAATGGACGATAGCGATTCTAGTGAGAACCTGAATTAGCAGCTGGACCTGTTGGGTGGATTTTGGCCAATGTTCCATGTAGATACAGTGGATAGCATGTATACATCAACCACGGTATATGTATGTGATAATGAATAGATGACACGAGATTATGAAACAGGTAGTTGAATCGAACGGTACTGAATTACGCCAATACTAAAACAGGTCAATGGCCCTCACATAAACATAAAAAACGAAGCAGTCAGAGTCATAAAACATTGGAATTCGTCTCTAGAATCTAGCTCTATATCAGAAGCAGAACACAGCACTACTATGTACAGTCCACCACCCTCAAGGCACGCAGCCCAACCCCGCCTCCACACAGACCCCCACGTGGCAATCCTTCTCTGCATGACCAACATTCCAGGACCTTGCCATAACCAAATTTCTCTGCCTAGTTCTCAATCTCATCTTCAATGACAAAGCCCCACTTGTGGTTTTCCTGGCCATCCTTGCCATACATGATGGCCTCCAGCCACGACTTGATCTGAGCGGCGTAGCCTGCACGCTCAGCGCCGGCAGTCAGCAGGTCGATGTCGACGTTGCCGTTGCGAATGAGCTTGACAGGGGTGATGAAGAACTAGTCGCAATGTTAGTAACTTTCTCTTTCGCGTAATCCACAAACCAAATCACTACCAGGAAAGAGACTTACCGCAGTACCAGAGACGAAAGACTCGACAATGCGCCCCTCCTTCCAGGCTTCCTCGATATCGGCAATCGTGAACTCCCTCTCCACGACCTCGACGGGAGCAAGGTTGCCGCAGGGCTGAGCGAAGTGTGTCCGAGCCAGCTCCAGAACACTACGACGGGTGACACCAGGCAGGATCAACTGGCTGTCCAGAGGCGCAGTGATCAACTCCAATTTGCCCGTCTCCTTGTTGTTCCACACGACGAAGAAGTTACTGGCACCGGCCTCGGTGACCTTGCGGTCCTCTCCGAACAGCCAGAGCACCTGGTCGAATCCGAGCGCCTGCGCCCGGCCGTGCGCGGCCAGGGATGGTCCATAATTGGCGCCCAGCTTAGCATATCCGAAGCCACCGGGCCAGGCACGGATCGTGTCGGGCTGGGAGGCAAGGAGCTTCAGACCGTGGGGGGCACCCTCCTCTTGCTTCTTCTTCGACGGGTCGGGCCAGGGGACCGCGATGATGAACAGGAGCGCTTCCTTGGGGGTTTGTACACCCAGCTGGGTGCCGTTTCCGATCACCGTGGGACGGAGGTAGAGGAAGCGACCGGGTTGATCCTTGGGGAGCCAGCCTGCAGCAAGAGAGAACGACCTCTGTGTCAGCTGGGGTGTCATGCATGAAATGATCGTCGGTCAGGGGATACGGGAGGGGAGACATACGTGGTCCATCGATCTGCATCAATTTCGCGATCAGGTGCTTCAACTCCTCGAATCTAAAACCAGGGAGGGAGGCCCTCTTGGAGCTCCCGTCCAAGCGCTCTCCATTGAGATCGGGTCGGAACAAGCGCAACTTGCCATCCTGGCCGCGATATACTTTCATGCCCTCGAAGCATTCGGTGGCGTAGTGCAGGCAGGAAGCGGTGGGAGGGATGCTCAGGTTGGCAAAGGGCTTCACTTCAGGCGTATCCCAGCCATTGCTCGCCGTCCACCGGACAGTAATCATATGATCGGTGCAGTGGGAATGGCTCAATTCCTCCGGCGATCCAGGGAGGGGCACATCGCGGAGATTGGTCGAACGAGTCACCTTGATGTACGAGGCATCAAGCTCGGCGAGAGTAGGCGCAGCAGAACCCATGATCACTTAAAGTTTTCGGTCGGAAAGGGTAATATGCGGAGATATCTGGACAACGCTCTGGGGGAGGAGGGGTTTATGCCCAATTGATACTTGAGAGACTATCCCGCAGAAAGTTGGTGAGTCACCAAAGAGATAACTTTCAAAGTGTGCCAACGGGAACGGAGTTCGGAACGCGACTCGAACGGGCTACAGCTTGGGCCAAGATCCAAAGATCGGTCGCTGAGTGGGAGACAACAGGGCGAACGGAGGAAAGTTGAAGAGAACAGGAGGGGAACCAGATACACGACTCTCTACAACATGTTGAATGCGTCTACTTTATGAACTTTCCATGCCAGACCCGGAGGCAAAGAAAACTTTTCGGGGAGCCGAATCTTCCTATGGTCTGGGACGTCTTTTCGCCTTCGATATCCGAATTCGCAACAGCAGTTGGATCCATCTATGGGTTGAGGGACGGTTCAATCGGCACCCTGAGCATCAGGATTCGTGCCCGCGATAGGTTATCATCGGTTAACGTCTCCGCAGATGGTGCTATTGTTCTCTGAAACGGCTTTCTGTACCTTCCAAGTGATTCTGAAGATGGGCCCTTGAGGATCTATTGTCCCGCTTCAATTGTGCCCGCTCCGCCATCGGTGCCCCTCGACAACCACCCAGACCGAGGATAACCGCAGGCGGTGTGAGCAGCAGGACAGAGTAGTCAGAACTTATCTAAGCAGGTCTGCGAAGGATGGCCGTAAGTTCACCGCCGAGAGTCTGGGTGAGATAGTTCTGGCAGAAAGAGGCGGTGTACATGAGACTCGAACAGTGTGCGGAGTAGGTGCCTCCAGTATTCTGTACTGCACCCTCTCTCAGAAAAGCTTAGACTTTTGCAAGGTACCAGGTCACAAGGCATACCAGCAAATCGTGGGGGAAAAGGCCATATTTTGAATGCTTAGTACTCCGTACTGTGTAGAAGCAAAATTCAAGAGTTTAAATGTGTGACAAACCCTTGCTTGTGTTCCCAGGGAAGCAGACCGACATTCCAACTTGGAACATACACTACCTGTCTCCTTCGATCGATCACGATCAAGCCTTATCATTGGAGAAGGAAAGAAAGTCCGGAGAAAGAGAAAAACAAGAAAACAAACAAGCGAGAAGATACTGCAATTTCCCAGGTACCCATCATAAAGCAAACAATGGGACAACATCGTTTACTAGGTAGTATCTAGTAGAGTGTCTGATTCATGGTCAATAAAATGTGGAGTCTAAACCGAGTCAGAACAAGTGCTAGCCGATCCTCGCATCGCCGTCACATAGCTATGTGAAGTACCCCGTACAGTACAACTTTAACTGTTTATATAGACTATACACAGTAGACTCTTAGAATACAATATCCACCAGGGAGTGATCTTATCATTTTCAGATGACCACTCCTATCAGCAGGAGAAAAAAAAAACCCCCCTCAGTAAGCATGCATCACTGTCCTCAGATCGATCGATTAGTGACCGCTACCAAGTTAACCAAGTCAAATGTTTGGTTCCATGCGGTGATTCTAGATGGGAGTGTGATGCAATATGCATATCGAGCTATCTACCCCAAGCGCTTGTCGGCTATGCTTCCTGTACAGCCGTAATCCATAATTGATGCCCTTTCATGCAGTAGCTTGGCTCTTAGGCAGGATAACCTCGCTGATCGTCCTGGTCCTTACTCGCACGAGGGCCTTAGGCGGCGTGGGGGATGTCGCTTCATGATTCACTAGCTGATTTTCCAAGACAGCCGACATGATACAGATGAGTGGGGGGGGGGGGGGGGAGGGGGGTAATAAGTTTAGTTTTAGTAGAACGTAACGACGTACCT